AAGTCTGAGTCTTGCTTCTCCCAGGCCTAGCTCAGGTGGTGCCTCCTCCAGGAAGCCCTTGCTGCATGCCCTGGCCCTGTCTTCTGGGCTTGCAGTGCCAACTCTGACCCTTTGTCCTCCCTGGACCTGGTCTTATTTACAGTCCTGGTCCATCTCATCCCTAGTCCCCTTCTCCAGCCAGTCTCCTAGAGGATTGTGCTCCAGGAAGGGAGACCAGGTTATTCCTAGCTCTCTCACAGTGCCCGGTTCAGCTCTGGTGCTCAGAAACTGAGTTAGAATGAATCCATGAATGAATGAATGAATGCAGGACACCGGGAAGGAAGGACCACAGTGTGTTACATTGATTCTGGATGAGGGTTTGACAGCCCGAATTCTCTGAGGCGTCACTGCCCTGTGCTCATTTACCCACTCCCTCCTTTGTTCGATCTCATCGAACCTGGGGGCCAGGTCTTCACTCTTAGCACCCAGGTTGGTACTAGCCAGACTTGGCTCTACAACTTCCTAATTGGGCAGCCTCCAGGAAGGTCTTAAGTAACCCTCAATCTTCCATCTCTTCATCCATTGATTGGGGAGAATAATGCTCATCTCATACCATGTGATGAGAATTGTTTGCCAGACACCGTGTTTGGGGCTGGGGCAAATTGATGAGAGGCATAGTCCCTTTCCCAAGCAGCTCACGGGTAGCAGGGTAAGCACAAACTCCCACTCTGTGGGAGAGGTCAGCACAGGGCATTAGAGGAGGACTCCAGACCCAGCCAGGGTTGTCAGCAAGGGCTGCATCCTGGAGGAATAAACAAGAGCTATCCAGGCGCGAGGGAATAAAGGCATTCAGGGCTGGGAATAGCATGAGCAGACAGCATGCATGGACTAGCAGTATTCTTGCAGGGCGGGCTGTGGAGAGGGTGATGCTTATGCTAACACTGAATCTCTGCTGGTGGAGCCCCATGCACTGGTTCGGGGAGTCCTACTGGGAATAGGACTTTGTGAGAGAAACTCTCACATCATTCCTGTGTGAGATCTTGAGACTGAGATGGGGTGGGAGGGCCCCTTGGCCAGGAAGGGAGTTGATTTTGGGTTTGTGCCTTCTGTGATGTGGTTTTTCCTGGGGTTGCTCTAGATGGAGCTGGAGGAGACAGAACCTCGCCTGGAGCCTGAGGACCGCCCATCAGATGCTGAGTTTGAGGGGGAGGGTGACTACGAGGAAGGCATCTATTCTGACTGGTGGCAGGAGCCAGACGCCAAGGGTGATGAAGCTGAGGCTGGTCAGTGACTTGAGTCCTGGAGGAGGGATGGGGATGCAGCCTGGGATGGAGGTTGTTGACAGAAAGAGCCAGGCACTGAGCTACAGAGACAGAGAGATATGCATGCTGGGTGCTAGGATTCCTCCTCTGGGGACTTCCAACCTGTTGGCAACCCCTGTCTCACTTGGTGGAAGTGGCATCCTTTCTGGAAGCAGGGGCCAGCTGAGACCTTTTCCTGGAGAGTCTCACTCCAGCCTGCCCCACCTCCCTTCAGGACATCACGCAGACACCTGTTGAGAGTGGGTGAGGGGCTAACCCCAGTGCTCTCTCCTTCACTTTGCAGAGCCAGAGCCTGAACTAGCATGAGAAGAGGTCTACCCCTGCACCTTTCAAGAGCTTGGGAAGCCTGGGTCCTATGGCACCAGCCTGGACATCAGCAAGAACTATTTATTAAAAATGTAAAATGGACATAGCTGACCAGGCCCCATCTCATCCTACCTGTGAGTGCTGCTCTCCAGACCTCTCCTGCCTCCTCGCTGGATCTCTGGACCAAAGGATGGTGGTGCTGCAGCTGCTGACAGCCTGTCCTTCTCCTAGTGCGCGCCCCACTAGGACAGTCTCCTGGAAGAGAAGATTCCAGCTCCTCGTAGTTGGAGTCTCAGCCTGAATTGCAGAGACAGAAGAGGGGCAGCTGGCGTTGTGAAGAGCCCTGGACCAGAAGTCCAGTGGTTCCTGGCACACTAGCCCTGGGTGCTCAATAAATGTTTCTCGTTGAATGAATCATAATGCCTGGGGTCTAGGCTGGAGTCCAGGCTGAGTGGTGAGGGTGCAGGTCCTTTTCTCCCTCCTTCTCTCTGTGCCCATCTCCCCTCATCTGTAAATTCAGGAGTGGTGGAAGGGGCACAGTCTGGCCTCTGAGCGAGGAGCAGCAGCATGTAATTGCAATCTGCCACCAGGGGGCGGAGGGATGCAGTTCTTGACCGGAGTTCTGGAAATATGGTGGTTTCAGGTTTCCAAAATGAGATGTCCTGTATTTCCCTAGTTCAGCATCACTTCCCTTGGGGAATGTGGTGAGTGAGGGGAGAGGACCAAAGAAATTTACTTCCAGTTTTTCCTTTTCAGGCATTGACTGACCCAGGTTCCTTAGAGTCAGAGCAAACATGTCTTGTCCTCCCTGCTCTGCACACTCTCCATCCCACAGCCAAGATTGGGGGCCCCATTTCAGTGGCCAGAGGAGCCCTAGGGAATACGGTTTGGTAGTGCGAGACTTCATAGTGGCAGTGGAACTGCCAGATCATCTTGCCCAAGCTTGCACTGGCTCCAGGTGCCAGAGAGTCCGGAGATGTGGGGGTGAATGGTGCCAGGCAGCTACCAGCCAGCCCTGTGACTCACCAGTGTCCCCCATGTGTTCCACAGCTGGGAGATGGGGACAGAGGGTCTCTCTGGGGAGGGACTCCAGGGTAGGGCCTGCCAGGTGACAGTTCTGCCCCACTCCCCACCTTTCTGACCTCCCAGGGAGCAGGGTAGTGGAGGAGCCTTCTCTCCCATTGAAGGGTGGAGCTGAGCTGGGAAGCCTAGTTCTCACCTTCCCCACACCTACCTGCTCCCAGGTGTGCATGGTGATCTGGCCTAGGCCCCGCCCATCTCTGTGCCCAGAAGGACTCCCTGCCTGGCCCCAAAACTCTCCTGGGCCTTTGGTGATGAAGAGGGTTTGAAAGCCAGAGTCAGAGCTCAGATGGGCTGGGTTAAGGCTGGGGGTGCAGGTGACCTCACTCCTACTTCCTTCCCTCCCTCTCTCCCATAGGTGGGTCTGCAGTGGTAGCTTCTCCTGGGAGCTCCCAGGTGCCATGGTGGCCCTGCCCCACCCTACCCCTTTCAAGCTGCTGTGTTGTCAGCTTCACTGAAGTCCTGCCCCCTGTTGCTGGGAGGGACTGCCCTCTGGGGCTGGCACTTCATAGGGTGGAGAGCAGGGATGTGCTCAAGCTTGCCTGTGTGAGTAGGAGTGTTGGAATCTGGATGGCTGGGTATGAGTCTGAAAGTGCCTGTGCCTGCGGGAGCGAGAAGGTCTGTGTGCTTGTCTGTTGTGTGGATGTGCGAGGCTGTGTGCATGTGTCAGAATGCCTGTCTGTGGTCGCATTGTGGGTGACTGATCGTGTCTCTGTACATGGTCTCTGTGCACTCATGAATGCTGTACTAGAGGGATTCATTCACTCACTCAGAACATATTTATTGAGCACCTACTACATACCAGGCACATTGTAGGCGCTGGTTACACACCAGTGGGCCAAACAGGCCAACTACCATGCTTTGGCGGAGCTTGCATTCCAGCAGGAAGACAGGCAGTGAACGATAAGTGTTATAATGCAGAAATTATCTGGTGGTGTTAAATAAGTGAGATGGAAAATAGAGCTGGGTAAGAGGACGAGGAGGGGTTGCAGTTTAGGAAACGTGTTGATATGTGATGTCTTGGAGTGTGCTGTGGTGAGTTGGGGTATGTGTGTGAGGAGGGCATCCCTGGGAGCAGAAGGCAGGCACCTCTCTAGGCACCAAACTCTCAAATAGGCCTTAGCCCCGGCCCTCCCAGCCAGAGTGCCTTACTCAGCTCCTCTTTCCCAGGCAGCGCCAGCCCCTCCTGCCTCTCCCTGATGCTGGCCTCTCCCCACTGCTGGGCTAGCTCCCCAAACCAGTGAGACGGAATCCCAGCGAGTTCCAGCGTGGGCCCCAACCCCACCCAGCCCAGACGCCCTTGCCTCCTCCACATTTCTGTGTCACCTAGCCCCCTCCTTACCCCACCCCTAGCACCCCACCCAGCATCTCATCAGTCATAGCATCTATAGTAAAATGGGTATAGAAGGTTAGGGAAGGTCAAAAGGGCACTGGGAATAGTGACCTCATATAATAGGGCCAGACTCAGATGCCACAGAGGTGTCCTGGACCTAGAAAGACCCCATCCTAAGGAGAGCTACTACAATGTGTTGGGTAGCTACTATGTGCTGGGCACTTGGCAGGTTCTTTATAAGGCTCAAAACAGCCTTGCAGGGGAGACAGCGATTCCCTCTGCCACAGGTGAGGCTGAGGAATGAGAAGCAGCTTGTCCGAGGCTCCTCAAGGTGGGTGGTAGCTGAGCTGCATTTGAACTTTTTCTCCCTAAATCAATGCTGCTCGGAGAAGGGAGAGAAAGGTGACAAAGCCCTGGTCTCTGGTGTTGGCTTTGTCCCCTTAAGCTGTCAGCTGAGGCCAAAGGGAGGAAGGTGAGGGCCAGATGTGGAGACAAAACACCCACATTGCCACAGCTCATGATAGGGGCAAGGAGTTCTAGAAGGGAGGGACAGAGAGAGCGGGGGAGGGAGGAAGGGGAGGAAGAGCAGGGAGTCAATCCCCCTCTTTCAGGCCTGACCCCCTAACATTCAACCCCTATTGTCAGCTCCACGGGACTGGGCTGAGGAGCGACTTGCTGGGGCCTCTTAGAGCAGCCTCTTCTTGAATCCTGAGAAGTGATGGCCAAGAGAGGTCGGGGGAGTCCCATGGGCTTTCCCAAAATTCCAGTAACTTTCAACGGAAGAAATTCCTCCCTTAGGTTTCAGAAATAGTTCTTGAAGTCTTAGCCCTGTATTCTTATCTCCTGCGGGAGAGTAGGGTCTCTCCTGGGGACAAAGAATAACGCCTTCCTGTGTCAGAAGGCTGTCCAGTTGGTATTGGGGCCAACTGCATGACCTGACTGGGGAAGTCCTGGCAGCTGAAGGGCCCAACCCTCCCCCGCCCCCACCCCCAGCTTTCCTACCTGGGGCCTTCATTCAGGCCTTCTCTTGCAACCTTTCTCCAAGGACAGTTTGGGCAGATGCCCCCAATTTCATAGATGGGGAAACTGAGCCCAGCGAGGCTGGATTGGGTGTCCAGGGTCGGAGCTCACTTTAAGTTAGGCTTGAGCAGCCCTGCTGAGCGGCCTTCCTATAATCAAGCTCCAAGATGTCTAGGGATTAGATGGGAGCATGCTGGGAGCTGGGGCCACCCACCCCATCCAGCCTCAGCCCAAAACCCAAGCCAACCTGTCAACACATCACCCCATAATCACCACCTGTCTTATACCCACCTGGCGCCGGAGTGCCTGGATAGCATCTCTTCTGTCCCCCAAACAGCCCTTGGTGTGGGAGCACCTCTCATGCCCATGACTCAGGTGGGGAAACTGAGGTAAGGAGGAGGACGTGCCTGCTGGTTTACCCTCTGCCCCACACACATATATACTTGATCCTCTGAATCTGTGAAAGAATTCACTAAATTGCAAAGAAGAGGCCAAGAGAACTTGACGTTTTCCATTTTGGGTCACCTTTTCCATCTTTCCTTTTAGAAAAACAGCACAATATTGTTTCCAGAGCAAAGTAAGAGGTGCCTCTTGAGAGTCCTTCCTTTTCCCTTTACTACTTGGCTAAATCTTCATGGCCTTCCTGGGGGAGGAGGCTGGGAAGGCAGTCAGCCAATCTAAGTGGGAGTCTGGCTTCTCTCCCTGGCCTGGGTAGGTGTGGGGAGCCTCATAGCCATGAAGGACTTCTCGTTAATATTTTTTGTTATCTCCAAATGAGGTTATGCACACAGTTACAGAGACACAGAGACAGGAATGAAGTCAGAAAATGCTTGTCATATGACTTTAACCTTTAGCACAATTATTTTGATAACCTTTTTCTTTTTTTTTTTGATAATACATTGGTATTCTCAAAAATGGAAATATCTCTGGCCTTCCTCTCAACCCCTTCACTTTGGATGGAGCTGACTTCTCTAGGCACCCTCATCAGAGTGGGGCCCAATCTTCACCCGCCCCCATACTCCACGCCCCTCCCCCTCACTACTTCTAGGTTCTCTGCTGGGGCCATAAATTATCCATGAGCTGTAAGTTGGCTGCTTCTGGAACTGATGAAATATTCAAGGATCTCAACTCTCAAATTCCCTGGTGGCCATGGCACGGGACTGGAGAAGATGGAATTAATGTACAAAGCTGGGACCTCTAAGTCCTGATGCCAGTTACCACAAAGGTGGGGATGGAGCTGGGAGACCAGGGAGGTGGAGAGGGTGGGTGGACTGGGGGAAGGGTCTCTTTGCATAATTGTTGGCTGTGGCTCTGGGAGGTCCCCTCTCTAGCTTCAAGGGCTTAGAAGAAGTGAGGGGAGGTTATAGATTTAAACCCTTGAGGAGAGCCAGCCAGCCCGGTTCACCCCACTCCTCCCCCAGCCCTGGCTCTCTAATCCAAGGTTTTCCTGAAGTCACACCTTAGGCTGACATCCCACAAGGTTGGTTCTCATCTCCACCCCCTCCACCTTTGTTGGGATGGAAAGGTGGGAGTGGCGAGCTGGTAGGCAGAAGAAAAAGGTTCAAGTCCTAAGTCCTGCCAGGAATTTGCCTGTGTGATTTTAACGAAGTTCATCTCCTGGCTCCAGTCTTAGTTTTGCTATATATACTAGGAAGGAGGCTCTGACTGGACAATTCCTTCTTTTTCTTCCCAAGGACTCTGGGCAGGTGGAAGTGAAAAAAATTCCTGCTCTGTGTGTGTGTGTGTGTGTGTGTGTGTGTGTGTGTGTGTGTACGTGTGTGTGTGTGTGTGTGTGTCTGTGTGTGTGCTCGCACAGAAAGGGTGGCTTCTCTGTGGGAAGGGCACCTGTTAGGGCAGGCATCTCTCCTGGCTTGTCAGGGGAGGGAGGGGCCGGCAGACTGGTCAGGTGGGTGGGGCCCTAGCTGTGTCAGCCTGTGTGTGAAGTCACCCAAGCCAGGAAAAGGAAGGGGGGTAACTCTGGTGGCAAGGCCTCACCCCCTCCCTCTCTCCACCCAATTGCTCAGGACGGGGAGGGGGTGCTCAGAGAGCCAGGGAGACCCAGGAACAGAATACAAAGTCTGTTTGCAGCCCACTCTACTGGGCTCCTGAAATCCTGGAGTTGCACCTTGGGTGGCAGGGACGGGGTGGGGGGTGTGGGAGAGTTTGGGGTGGGCAAGGGAGGGCAACTCCAGGATAGACATTCTCTGGAGAGGTCCTGACCTTCCTCCAGCAGCTCCCTCCACTACCATCACTGGCCCCTGGTATCTCGCCCTGGCCTGTGCTATTTCTGGCCTATCCTATCTCTGTTTTCTTGTCTCTCTGTTTTCCCTTTGACATTCCATCCCCACCCACGCACCTTGCAGTGAAGTGTCGCTGGAAGCTACCTCTATAATTAAGAGCCTTCCCCAGTGTCTGGGCACACACCCAAAGGACCAGGACCAGGCCCAGGCCTTGGGCAGCTCTGGCCTCCAGGCTCCTCCCCTGGACAAAGGGCAGCAAAAAAGGCAGGAGCACCCCCACCCCTACTCCCAGGGCCTTGCACCATCCTATCCTGCTCCTGTTCCCCCTCTGGGGATGCTTGAGCCCCCCACCAGAAAAGGTTGGGAGTCCAGAGGCTCTTCTGCAGCAGCCAATGTCCTCTCCCCAGCTCGGAGGTCACCCTGAGCAAGTCCCCCCATCCTAACACCTGCGGGCAGGGGTAGGAGTGCAAATGGAGGCCCACATCCATAGATCTAAATAACTTACGAATCAACCTAACAAACTGCTAAATAAGATATACTTTGACAAGTAGATCTCTGAGATGACCTGAAGGGCCAGGATGGAATTGAGAATTCTGATTCCTCAGAACATGGCAGTTCTGGGATAATGTCCCCTGGGCCACCTCCCCTTTCTTTCAAGCCCTGGCTCCCCTGACACGGCAGAGGGCCTCTAGCACATGTGTGTAGATACCCTAGCTTGCATGTCTGGGCTGCGTCCACCCCTCCCCCATAACTGTCCCTGGTTACCCTTTGCCTAAGCATTCAGATACCACATGTGGTGCTACAATCTATTCATTCTCAGAAGGAAGGGCCAGAGTACAGGACCTGCAGGCCCTACAAGCAAGGGTCAGTGCTGGGCAAGGAATTCCAGAGTGTCTGGTACCCAGAGAGTGATCTTGAAGGAGAGAGGTATGAACTCTGTGTAGGCTGGTCCCCCTGGCCCTGTGTGGAGGGGCACAACCCCAGTGCAGGGGCCTCCCAAAGGGCAGGCCCCAGGACAGAGGCCTCTTCCGCAGTTGATGGATGATTCTCCCAGGGCTGAGAGAAGGCCTGTGCTCAAGATGCCTCCTGATGTTTGCATTGCCTTTGATTCCAGCCTGCCGCCAGGACAAGCTTTCAGTGGATCGCTCTCACTGGACTTCCCTGTTGCTGTAACACATTGCAGTGTGATGAAGAGGGACCATTATTCCCCTGAAGTTCAGCAACCCATCTGATCACCTGCTCTTTCTTGATAGAGGTGGCCATTTCTGAGGCCCAAGAGGAGGAAAGAAGGGCATATGTGTGTGTGGAGGGGGAGGGGAATGTTTGCTTGTGTTGGGGAGAGAGCTGACAGGGCTGGTGTTTGTGTATCTGAATCTGTGCCCGTGAGGGTATATCCCTGAGGCATGTACACAGAGGCTATGTGTGAACATATGTGTGGCTTGTGCAGACCTACATCTCTGCCTGCCTCTATCTGGGAAAGGGGACCCCACAGAGAAAGGGCCGAGTTTGAACAGAACACGGAATCTCTTCCACCTCCTTATGTGGCCCAGAGGCTCCTGGAGGACCAGGAGAAGTGAGATGAGGGAGGAGGTGCTTGACTGCTGTTCACCTTCCCCAGGGAAGCGCCTCTCCATCCCTCACTAGGTCCCCTCCCTCCCACCAGCTCCTCACTGGACCAGACCCCTCTTTGCCAGTAACTTCTGTCTCTGGGGCAGCTTGGGATGGGCTACTTGGTGCCCTTTATTTATTTCTTCTTTATTCTGAGGTCTCGGAAAGCTGCAGGGTTGAATGAACCACATATGTTCTTGGTGGCCCAAGGACCCTGCTTCCATTGAGCTCTGGGCAAGAGAAATGGGTTTAAACTGCAGGAATAGGAATTGAGGCGGGACAGCAGAAGGAATTAACCAGGGTTAGAATAAGGAGACAAGAGTATTCACATAAGGGAGGCTGGACAATCTCCTTTTCTGGGGATCTGTCAAACAGCAATCCCTGCCTTTAAAAGCTTGGAGGCAGGGGGCTGGATAAAATGGTCTCGTGGTCTTTCCTTCAAGTTCAAGCTACGGAGGAGATTGGCCACAGCAACTCTCATCCAATCCCTATCCCTAGGTACCACCTCATCCCATGAAACCACATCCCCATAGAGATAGCTGATTCTAGTGAATATCATTTTCTGATCCTACAGATGAATCTTCAGTGACTGGCAGGCACTTAATGGGTGTGTAATAAATGTGTAGAAAATTTCTTGATCTGGAGGAGAGACAAAGCTCTTATCCTAGTCTTTCCTGCTGCTGCAGTGGTGCCTCCACCCAGTCCCAGCCCTAAGCTCTGGGGCCAGCGTGTTGCAGCATGCTCCAGGCTGACAGGCAGGGAGAATTCTGAAGCCTTATTTCTGCCCCTCTACCCCACCCAGACTCCTCCACCCCTCTTCAGTCAAGCAGTCCACCTCCCCCTGCAAGCTGGAGTTGGGAGAAAGGAAGGAGTTAAACTAGGCTTTGGCCTGAGAAGTGTGTGTGCGTGTGTGTGTGTGTGTGTGTGTTTGCTGGGTGGAGGTGGGGAGGTGGGCAGGAGAAGGTGGGAGGTGGGAGAGGGAAGAAGAGAAACGCTGGTGCTGGCAGGAGCCAATAATTGTGAACTCTTTTTCTCCCAAGCTGGGGACTGACCATTGTACAGGTGTACAGGGTGGCAAGCAGGTGGGTGGGCCAGGGGTAAGGAGGAGAGAAAGATACCGAGATAAACTGGAGGAAGGGAAATAAGAGAAATAAAGCAAAGGGCAGTGGCCCTGGCATGTGGGGTGGTAACTGGTTATAGATGTTGATCTCTCTCTGGCCCCCTCTAGGAAGACTTTGTGAATGGCGTAAGCCTCAGAAGTGAGACTGTCTAGCCACTATTCCTTTCTCTGCTGGGGAAAGTGGTCAAGGATGCTGCTGTGTGTGCTAGCTTTGGTCATTCCTCATTTTGGAGGAATGACCCTTTCCTGAACAACCACTCCCCCAACACCCCCATGCACAGAGTGGCTAGGTGACCTGTTTACACTTAGCCCTTTGGGAGTCCTTTGAGGGTTGGGATCATTTTGATTTTTCATGTCACCAGGGTCTAACCCAGTGCCTTGCATACAGCTGGTGCTCAGTACTTAAGTGTTGATGAATGAATGTCTGTAGGACCCTTGGCACGCTGTATATCCAACAGCAGGCATTCATTCCATCAAACACACAAAGGAAAGACCCCTGTCTTCTTAACCCATTGGGAAGTTCTTTCTGATAACTAACCCAGACTCTTCCTCTAACCAGGGGCCTACTGCCCCATTTCTTTTACACCAGTGTTGATTTACTTTAGATCCGCTGCCTGATTTTTTTGCAGACACACCAAATGCTTTCTCTTTATCTCAAATCATTGCTCTTCTGTCTCTCCCCAGAATATTTGTTTTTGCCTTTCCCCTAACCCTCCCCACCGCTTTGACATTTTAAGTCCAAGAGAACATGTGGTTTAGTGGGCCTTGAAACTAGAAGAAAGTGTTCTGTTTTAGGATGTGCCACTTTCGAGTTTTGTGATCTCTCTGAACCTCAGTTTCCTTATCTTCGAAATGATCATTTTGTGGTCCTAACAATTTTTTCAGAATTGTCATGAGAATTAAAAAGTTCATATTATTTATTTAAATTCTAACATTTAGCAGCTGTCCAAGAGATTTCACAAACCTTACTTCATTTTGTCCTCATACACGCCCTGGTAAGAGAGATATAGCTAATGTACCCATTTTACAGATGAGGAGAAAAGGGGCAAAAGGAAGTAACTTGCTTAAGCTCATACGACTATTAAGTAGCAGGACCCGAACCATGGCCTTCTAATTTAAAATTTCATGAGCATGCCATCTTTTGGGGAAAAAACCCCAACCCAGTAAAAAGCCAATGAAATGCTATACAAATATGTTGTTATGCCTTTGTGGCAAAGGTGAATAAACCCAAAGAAGCATCAAGCCTGACGCCGAGTTGGCTGGCTGGTGAAGGCATCAGTCTTTTCCCATGGCTCCCCCTGACTCACCTGTAGGACAGGTAAGGGGAAGGGGAGAGAGTAATGAGTCTTACCTGCTTAGGGTAGGGTGGGGCAAGACACACCCCTTCCTTCCCATTAGTTCTTTCCTTGGTCTTGCTGACAGTCTTGTCCAATCAAGAGGAAGTAACTTTATATTTGCCAATAGGTGCAGAGTTAGGATGGAATCCCAAGTTGGAGGCCGTTCCCAGAGCCGACTGGCAGTCCCTAGGGCCAATGGCCAGCGGATAAACGAAGGCGGCGGTGGAAGAGGACTGGGGATGAGGCTCCGCCCCTCGATGGGACAGTCAGGCGAGGCAGCCAGTGAGTCCGCTTCAGTGGGTGGGCGTCTCCTTTAGGGGCGGAGCTTCAAGGGGCGAGAGGCGTGGCTTGGCTGTCAGGTCCCTTCGTCTTTTGTTCAGTTACTGAGTTGCTGCCTTGGCCAGAGTCCGGAGCAGCCGCCGCCCGAACGCGCAGAGCTCTGTTCGCTGCCCGCGCCGGCTCCCATCCCGGCCCTACCCCTACTCAGTCCGACCAGGCTCCACACGCAGGTGAGGACGATCATGGCAGGTATCTCTGGGGTAAGGGAAGGGCAGCGAGCGGCCGAGAGGCAGATTTCCGGCCGTCTCAGGGCAGGTGAAGGAGGAAGCCAGGGAGCGCCAACCTGCACCAGCGGCAGGGGGCGCGCTGGGGTCCTGGGCGCGGCGACTAAGGGGGCGCGGAGTGCGTTTGGGGCTCCTTCGCGAGGACGAGGAGGGGTCAAAGCAGGTGCCTCAGAGGTCGCGCCTCCCCCGGAGCCCGCGGAGCTCGGCCGACGCCGCGTCCCTGACTCTCACCTGACTCCTTCAGGGTAGACTTTGACCTGCTCCGTCTGCGTCGCAGGGGCTCACTTTGGTCAGGAAATTTACTGTTTGGGAAACTTGCTGCCGCTGGTCTCTTTGGGGCCACCTTCATCCCACCTCACGCGTCATCCTTGCTTTCCCTCCCTCTCTACTCCCCCAGGCCTGGGTGGGGCCCATTGTCTGCGCCCGGCTTGCCCAACTGTGGGGGCTGAGCGCACATTTTCCCAGCAACGCGGGCCCTACCTGCTAAGCAGGTGAGCACACGAGTCCAGAGGCCCTGTCCTCCAGCTCCCGGAACCTCGTCGGTACTGTACCTGCGGCGCCCCCCTCCGCTCCAGTGGGTGCCGGGCTAGGGCTCACCAGGGGAAGCGGGATTGGATGACAGTGGGACTGTGCAGGGCCGGCTCCGCGCCCAGCCGGTGTCTGGGACCCGTGGCTCGGACTGGGGTCTGGATAGGTGGAGAATTCACTGGTCCAGCTTCCAGGAGCTGCAGCTTCCAGAGTGTCGATTATGGGAACAAGATTACCCTCTCTCTCATCCCTTAATATTGGAAGAAATCACCCCAAACAAACTTTCCAGAAGGAAGTATTCACGGCAGCTTTCTCTGGAGGTTTTCTTGCCTCCCGGCCCAGGGCTTACCCCAGGTTTACGGGGTCCTTTTTGAAGTAAAGCCCCCTCCCCCAGCTGGTCAGGCTGATCCAGGGCCACTGCTTGAGCTCTGGCCCTGTCCTCCCTGCCCCCACCTCCATCCTGTTTGCTGGGTCCCTGGGGCCTGAGGTGGGGACCGGGGTGGGGGGCGGGGTGGGCCGAAGGGGAAGCAGCTTCTTCCTTCTCTTCCTGCCTCCGGGGACCACCACACCCCCCTCGCCTGAGGCCTGCGCTAGTGGCTCTCTCCCAAGTTCTGCCCCCTCCCTAGGAATGGGGGTGGGGCAGGGCTGGGCCTGATGACGAAGGTGGGGGAAGCAATTGTTCGGGTCTTTTTTTTTTTTTTCCTACTCTGTCCCCCACGTTATTTAGCTGGCTGGTAATTGAGGCCGAAAAGCGAAGAGCCATGGGGCTTGATTTCCATTTGATTTTTGGGTTTCGAAGGTGCATTCCTTCT